GGTTTCCCCGACCTTTTAAATCCCGTTTTTGCATGGGATTTCCCCCATGTGATAAACTCCCAGATCTGATATAACAAAATACACACAAGCTACACTTAGACTGCAAGTGTGACTTGCGAAGATCACTCCGTGGATTTCCGTGGCTGAGCCAGAATTCCAACCTGGTCTCCTGGCGTCATCAAAACTTTCACATCACGCTGGCTGAAGTGCAACTAAGGGTGAAACCAGTTGTTAGTCCTGACTAGAGTAATAACGTTGAATTAATTGGACTCATTACGTGTTGAGTCACCATGCAACAATTGCTTCAACATGCCTCCTTGAGTTGGAACTAGCCAACAGGATTTGGGTCTGAGACCCCTAAAGGGACCAGATCCTGACTGACCTTGGAAGCTAAGCAGACTCAGCCCTGGTTAGTACGTGGATGGGAGACCATCAATGAACACTCGGTGCAGTAGGCTATGCAGTATTTCAGAGTAAAGAACTGGCAAAACCACCACTGAGTATTCCTTGCCTGAGGGAAAAAACATGAAATTCATGAGGCCACCATTAAGTTGACAGGCTATATTTTAAATGAAAGATCTTGCAAAACTACCCTTAAGTTTAGCTTGTCTAAGAAAAAAAACATATGAAATTTATATAGTCACCATATGTCAACAGGCAATTTGAAGTGCGCATGCGCACGTACACACACACACACACACACACACACACACACTCAAAACTAATATCTATAGATATTATAGATGTCAGTTCAGTCAGGTATTTTTAAACTCTGGACATAAAAGTCATATTTAAAAATGTGGGAAGACAGCTCTGCTGCATTGGAGGCCCTCCTGCTTGGCTTGTGCTCAGCGTTTTGCCCCAAAGTCACCATTGTGTGTCCATGCTGGCTAAAGTGTTCTGGGAGTTGTGATCTAACAAAGAACCTTTTCCAAGCTTAAGACTTACCAATTCCCTTCCACCACTGTTCCAATAGTCCTTGCAAAAAGGAATTCTGTTCCTGGAAAATAAAAACTAAACACAAGTATAGGAACTTGAGCAAACAAAGCATGCTCTTGTCACAGGAAAGAAATACAAGCAAGGCATCTACTAGTTTGCAAAATGTGATTGAAGGGTATAATATTTCACTGTTCTCTTTAATGCAGCCCCTGTATTTTGTTTTTGATGCTCTTATTCAGCGTGACAGGACCAGTTCCTAGTGGACTGTATTCGTGATGCAGATTCAGATTTCTTATGACAGTGTTTAAACCTGAGTCTGTTCCAGTCGGAGGTCATTTATTTATTTATTTATTTTACTGTATAGCCCTGCCCTTCAAAAGTAGAAACTCTTAAAGTTCACAATATGGCTGATTTTTTTTTTAAAAAAATCTGGTTAAAACATAATAGGATCACCCAATAGAAAAAAAAAGTTCACTGTTGTTGTTATATGACTTCAAGTTGACTCCAGCTTATAGTGGCCCTATCCCAAGGTTTTCTTAGAGTAAACCATTTCTCCAAAAAGCAATGGCAAACTTCCTCAGAGTAAACCTTGCCGAGGAAGTTTGCCATTGCTTTTCGGAGAGAGTGTGGCATGCCCAAGGTCACCTAGTGGGTTTCCAAAAGCTGGGTGGAGATTTGAACCCGGGTCTCCCAGTGTCCTAGTCCAGAACTCAAATCACCAAATGTTGCTGGCTCTCTACGGTGTTTTAAAAAGTGTCTGTTTCTGTTACTCATTGTAGTGATGAAAGCGAGTAACTTGTTACATTGCTTTTCACTCTGCTTGTTATTTTTCCATTACTTTCTGATACTTTTTTTAAAAAAGTTAAGCCTTTAGGATTAAGAGAACAACAGAATCTGCCTCTTCTTTGATAAAAGAAGCAGAAACTGGAGGGCATCCAATGGAATCCACAAAAGAAACAAATTTCACGATGATCAAAAGTGTATCCTCCATCTGTCCCAATTTAGCAGGGACTGTCCTGATTAATCCTCTGTTGTCCCACTTTATAGTTGCTTTGAAAATGCCCTGATTTCTTTTTCCTCCTCCCACTCTCTTCCTTTGCCCTCAGCTTACCACAGTTGGTGCAAACTGAGTTTAAACTGCATAAGTATTTAGTGAGAGCCAGGGTGGTGTAGTGGTTTGAGTGTTGGACTAGGACTCTGAAGACCAGATTCGAATCACCGCTCGGCCATGGAAGCCCATTGCGCAAGTCACATACTCTCAGCCCCAGTGGACAGCAATGGTAAGCACTGTTTGAACAAATCTTGCCAAGAAAGCCCCATCATAGGTTCACTTTAGAGTTGCCATAAGTTGGGAATGACTTGAAGGCAAACAACAACTTTGCAGGAGGGGAGGGTGAAATCTTGCTCTTCCATGTAGGCCCAGGCAAAAGCAAACTGCTGCAGCCTCCTCTAGCATGTGTGTTCTTCCCCATTAATACCTTTTGTCATCTTGACCACAGTCTATGGATTGGCCAGCACATGTCCTGCTTCCATCTGTGAAGTGCAAGACAGAGAAACAGCGACATTTTAGAAATAGCTAAAAAGGGGCAGAAGTGGAAAACAGGATGCAGAAGATCTAACTGGAGAAAAGTTGTAAAACTAAATAAATAAATAGAAGAATATGTGATCATGAACCCTAAATTAAGTTAGACATGGAGAAAAAGAAAGATAAATAAATAAATAAATTTTAATATGGAACAAACAAAGTGAAAAACTAGTGAACAAGATCCATGAAAACCAGACAAAACTTTTTATAGGAAGCAAAAACAAAAACATAAAGATATAATAGGTATGAAATGTAAGATATATGTTTATTCTAAATACAGTTAGCTTGGGCTATAAAGAAGAGTCTCAAGAATGCTAAGCTGGAACTGAACTAATAGTTTTAGAATGTATTTAATTTTATATTACATGGAATAGATGGCAAGATTATTGACAAAAATTATTGTATATGTGTGTGTGTATCTTTGTTGTTCTCTCTCTTTTTCAATAAAAGTAACTAAATAAATAAATAAAAAAGGGGCAGTTTGAGGGTATGTGGTGCTTAGCCTTGCCACTGTCCTCGATTTCCCTCCCTCCATCTTTGAAATTGCTTTTCCCACACTTGGACTCTGAAATTGGAAGTGTGCCCAGCTTGGAGAAAAGTGCTATGGGTGTATTTATTACGTGGCATGATAATGCCACACCCGTGCACTGTTCCTATATATATATTTGCTTCTAAGAGGAATAAGTTCTGCTGAGTTCACCTGGATATTGCCAAGGTGAAGAAAGTGGTATATCCACTCTTCACAATTAGTGTGGAATCACCACAGTTTGTTGGCTGTGTTTTTACAGAGCATCCAGACATTTTTCTTACATAATTTTAGTCGTGGGTTTTTCACCTGTTCTTCTGCTTTTTCTTTTTTTTTTCCAGACTGTAAGGAGTCTTAATTTTGGGAAAAGAGTGGCCCAGTAGCATGATCTCTACTGCTGGTGTGGACTGTTTTTAGCACTGTTATCTTTCCAAGAAGCATGATTTCCACGTATGCCATGATGTATCAGGCAGGTAAATCCGATCAATATTTGCAATACCTTTCTAGAACTTTTCTAATGGCTATAATAACCCTCTGTTCTTTAATGTTTAAAAGAACTTTTATTTTTGTAAAAGCAATAACTAGTGTTTCCTGCACATTTCAAGCTGCAAGCAATATCAGAAGATACGGTACATGCATTCATTTCATCATTTTATCAGACTCACAGCTGCTTGCTTTTGCATGTAGTCCCTGCCTGCAAATCATCAGCAATAAATAAGAATAATGTCCCCTCTAATATTCATTACGATGTCTGGTTTTTAAACTGATCTGTACAATTGCTCTTCTGGCTATTGTTGTTGTTTGCTTACTAGTCATTCCTGACTTATGGCAATCCTAAGGCAACCTTATAACGTGGTTTTCTTGGCAGAAATTGTTCAGAGAGGGTTTACCTTTGCATTCCTGTGAGACTGAGAGAGTGTGACTTGCCCAAGGCCACTCAGTGGGCTTCCATGGCTGAGAGGGGGATTCAAACTCTGCTCTCCAAAGTTGTAGTCCAATATTCAGACCACTCATAATAGTACTTAGGGCTGTCAAAAACAGTGGGTGTCCATTTTTCCAAAACCAGCAATTATATTCTGGTTCAGGTCTGATAATCAAAACTGGGTCACTTCTGATGTTCTATTTTTACTGTCATGTACCTCTTCCAAGTGTATGTGTATTTGTTGTGTTGTTAGCTGCCCTCAAATCGACACATGGTGATCCTGTGTATGAGACATCTCGATATCCTCCACCGCTCTGCTCAAGTCTTGTAGAATCGGGTCCATGACTTCCCTGATTGAGTCCATCTATCTAGCATGCAGTCTTCCTCGCTTTCTGCTGTCTTCTATCTTTCCTAGCATTATTGTATTTTCTAATTATTCTTGCCTTCTCATGATGTGGCCAACATTCAACAGCCTCAATTTAATCATCTTGGCTTCCAGGGAGAATTCAGGCTTGATCTGTTCAACGATCCATTTGTTTGTCTTTTTGGCTGTCCATGGTATCCTCAGCACTCTTCTCCCCCATCACATCTCAAAAGAGTGTATTTTCTTTTTATCTACTTTCTTCACTGTCCTGCTCTTGCATCTGTACATGGTAATGAGGAATTCAATGGATTGGACAATTCTAACTTTAGTGCTCAGTTGTATACTTATACACATTAGGATATTGTCTAGTTCTTTCATCACTGCCCTTCCCATCCATAGTCTTTTTCTGATTTCTTGACTGCAGTCTCTGTTCTAATCAATGTTTGATCCAAGGTTCAAGACATCTTTAACTATTTTGATTTCCTCATTTAGTCTAGTTTGAATTTATGCAGGTCCTACATAAATATGGAGCATTTGAAAACATAGGGATGTGGTGGCTCAGCAGTTAAGATGCTGACTCTGTCAACTGAAAGATCAGCAAGTCGAGAACCATGCGCTATCACTAGTCCCAGCTTCTGCCAATCTAGCATTTCAAAAGCATGTACATAAAAGTGCAAGTAGATAAATAGATACCACTTTTGTGGGAAGGTATCATCATCATCATCATCATCATCATCATCTTATATCCCACCTTTCTCCCAATATAGGGACTCATCATGCTTGCCACATGATCACTAACCCCCTAAGCAGACGGCTTAAAGGGCCGTCTTGGGGGCAGGGAAGGGGAGGGGCAGCCGCACGATCGGCGCCCCAACCCCTTCCCAAGGTCGTTCTTGGAGCAGCCGGCCCTCTGCAGGGCTGGCGCTCTGAGGAGGACCTCCCGCTGCAGCGTTTGCACACGCTGCGGTGGAAGAGTCGCCGAAAGTGCACCGCAGCCTTTTGCGGTGCACTTTCGTACTTGTGAAAGGAGCGCTGATTTAGCATTCCTTTCAGAGGCGGCGAAGCTGCGCTGCGGGACCGAGGCATGGGGATGTCTCGGTCCCGCGGCGCAGCTTCCTGGGGTGGCCCATGGCCACTCGTCTGCTTTCCCCCAGAGTCATCTTTGACAATGCTAGCTCTTTGGTTAGTAAGGAGATGAGTACCGCCTCCTACAGTCAGATACAACTTAACAAACTTGTCAAAGGGGAAACCTTTACCTTTACCTTTAGGTCCTCCATGGTCATTATTTTTGTTTTCTTTATGTTCAGTAACAATGCTGACTTTACACTTTCTTTCTTGAACTTCCAAAATTGTTACAAGTCCATAATGTTTTCTACTAGTAGCATGGTGACATCCGCATATCATAGGGGCCATTCACACTTTGTTGTTTTTAGGGCGACAATGCGAATAACCACACTCACACATTCCAGTTTTGTTGTTCACACTATGGAGCTGCATCTCTGTACATCTCTGTGAATTCAGTTGCTCACACATTCCAGCACTCGAATAAAGATGGAGTCGATGATGCGAGTGTATTCAAAGCATGTTCAGGGCATTCTCACAGTCGAGAATCTGAATCTTTTAGAAAAACTCTGGCAGCCCCCCAAAAAAACTTAATCAGATGCATTCGAAATGCATGTGAACAACAAAGATTCAGCCTGATTCTACCTGGATTATGTTCACTGTCTGAATAACCCCTTAGATTACAGGTGTTTGGGGAGGGCAATTATTTGGAGAATCATGTCTCCTGCAATCATATAGAAGGACTTGCTCCTTTTTTATAGAGGCAATTGCAATGTCATGTTAGAAGGGCCCAAGAGCTACAGAATTCTTCCCCCTCCCTGGCTGAAATCTTACACCTCTTTCCTTTTTGAATCAATTTCACTGAAAGCAAATGGGCCTTTCTTATGCATGGGATTACTTTGTAAATGAAAGTGCATTATAGCTTTCATTTGTCTGTGTGCTTTTCTGGTCACTACCATTTTAGCAATATTGTTGGTACTGTTCTCATTAAACATTTCAGAGCTACTCACTCAACCACAAATTTATTAAAAGCCATAATGTTTTATTAAATAAGTCCTATATTTAAAATGAAATAATAAGGTATTTTTTTAAATTGTAAAGAAATGTCTTTTCTGGTGAATTGTATCTTCCTCAATATGGCTATGCCTAGTGATGTACATGGAAACATGTATGTGCATGTGTGTGTGTATGCCTTGAAGTTGCTTTTTTAACCCTATGAATTTCATAGGGTTTTCTTAGGCAAGGAATACTCTGATATGGTTTTGCCAGTTTCTTCCTATGAACCATAACCTACAGCATCTGGTATTCATTGTCTGTCTCCCATCCAAGAACTAACCAGGGCTGACTGTGCTTTGCTTCCAAGATCAGACAGGATCTGGTGCTTCAGGGCATTTTGGCCACTTTACAATGGGGTCATAGCAAGAGCTTTCAACATTATTTTTTAGAACAACTATGATAGTTAGCATTCTAAGCCTTGCCTAAATAGATAGCTATCATTACAATTGTAGGTTTTGAAAAGCAACTCTTTACTTTTACATAATTTGAATGTAACTATGGTAGGACAAGCACCACCAGCGTAGTAATACCAGACTGCATTTGCACACACATCTATCCCCGTTCAGAAAACATGACTTCTGCTTAAGCGACAAAGTTCTCACTGCTTTATTGCTCAAACAGTGAAACATCTGTACCTTCAACTTGAACATCTGTAACTTTAAGTGGGTCCGCTATGAAGAGTAAGGTTAAGCTATCAATGAAATGAAATGAAAT